GAGAGAGAGAGAGAGAGGAAAAGGGGGAACTTGCTTACCGTGAGGCGTGAGCTCTCCCAGGTTGCTGGTGTTTACTCTTCTACCTTCTTCAGATGGTGTGTTCCTGTTGTTGTAAAGTTTTTCAGTGGACTCTCTAGGAAATTTGGTTTTTTTTTTCTTTTTAACACCCGAAATTATCTCTATTTCAAGTTTGGCCTGAATACAAGCAAAGATAATCCGAGTCAAATCGAAAAAAAAATCCGACTACGATTTGGTTTGATTTAGTTTAGTATCAGAAAAAAAACTCGACCATAATTGATTTGGTTTGGTTTTAACTAAAGAAAGTCAAACCGAAACTAAACCAACCTGACATTATATATATAAAAATTTTAGATATATTTAATATATAAATATACTTATTGTGATGTAATTTATAAATATTTCTTAAATTTTTTATAATTTTATCTTTTAAGGTATTATTTCAAGGTTGGACTTAGAATTTTTGTATGTTCCAATAAGTCTTAAAGCCATTGATATTAGTAACTTAAATAATGCTAACAAAAGCTCCAATCAAAATCAGATCAATACTAATACTAACAAAAGACATTCAATTCAATACAACGAACGACAATGTATATTTTTTGTTTTGCAATAATTTAATTAGATAAAAATGCATAACCTATTTTTATTTTTTTCTTCAACATTTAGTCATGTAATTAATACTCCCTTATTAATCTACTTATTTTAGCATGACTTAGTACTTCTAGATTATGTTTATTTTTAATATGGCTTTTTATTTAGCAATATTTATATTACATAATTTTATTGTCTTTATTGTTGAATATTTTAGGATAATGCCGTGACACATCTCATATTTTGTATTATTTTCTTGGAAAATACCTTAAATAATTGTATCTTACTAGGATTAAAGAAATATTTTGAGCACAAGTTATATGTTTTGTGCTACGGAGATTTTACCCGAAAAAAAATCCGGAAAAACCCGAAAAACCGAGATTAAAAACCCGAGTTTTATTGGTTTTGTTTGGTCTTTAGATTAATAACCCGACACAATTGGTTTGATTTGGTAATTGCAGAATCCGAACCAACCCGACCTATGTACACCCCTATACGCAAACAAGAACAGGACCTAATGGTGTAAACAATATAAAATATTCATAAGAACACGTATCAGGTAATAGCGAGTTGTAGCAAAAGATTTTACAAATATATATTATAACAATTTACATTTTAGAAAAGAATAGCTACACATGGAACGAATTCTTAATATTGACAAAGTAATAATAAGGGAAAAAAAGGAACAATTAAATTATAAAATTTAAATTCAAACTGATGACATTATTGTAAGAGTAAATAAAATTATGCTTTTTGAAAATGTCTTGTTAAAAAATTAAAATAAAAACATGCTAGAAAATATTTTTGTTTTGGCTTCAATTTTGAATTCGATAAATAAACTTATGTGTAGGCTATGTCACCTGAAATTTTCCAGTGTCTTGTGCGTGTAAAGCAAGGTTGAACAGAGAATTCATACTCTAATTTAATTGCTTCAGAGACAGATGGATTTTCAAAGCATCTGCCTTGGTCGATAGAGAAGCTGGAAAACAAAAATATATTCGCACTCAATATTTACATCAAATCATAAAGCATATTTAGTGCATTAATTAATTTGACATATCCATTTAGTTTCATATGATGCACAATTTGTACAAAATCCAAGAGTTAAAAAAAGTCTACTTTAACTCCGAGGGCGATGTGCACATATAGCCATTAATAGCATATGTCTTTATTTTTAGGTCACTATTTTAAATGTTTAGTCTTTAGCCACTGCTTTAATCAACTTTTACCTGCCTGGACAAAAATACCCTTCTGTTATAAGCTTATACCTACGCTCCTTATTAACGATCAGCAGCAGCAGCACGTAACTAACTTCCGAAGCAGCAGCAGAGACTGTGATCGTCCAAAATTGCAGAAGCTTCTCTTCCGATTTCAAACTATAGAATTCAACTTTCTCGTCCAAAAATCGACATAAAATTACAGTAAATTATGCTTTTGTGTGTTTCTGTTGATTTTTCTTTCTTTACTAGGAATTTGATGCTAGGAATTTGATTTTTTTTTTTTTTTTGCTTTTCTGGATTGATAACGTTAAGGACTTCGCGTCCTGTGATTATTCTATGAATATTGAGGACATAATGTTAAGGATTTGGTGTCCTTAACATGACTGTTGTTACTAATATTAA